GGCTCTTCTGTGTTGTGCCATGCGCTTGTGAAGTGGCTGTTTGGTCTCTCCAATGTAGAGGTCTGGGCATTCCTCGCTGCACTGTACAGCATCGAGGAATGCCCACGATGACCTGGATGACTGAGAACCTTCACAGACATATTTTTATGCTTAAATGATCCATAGGTCAGTGTTAAGTGGCTTAACTTTGAAAGACCTTCAGAAAATCTGGAGAACTACTGTTCATGACCACCACAGACTCCTTCAGAGCAGATATAAAGAAATGAAAACATTTTGCAGAGTACTATACATTGATGGTTATCTTTAATGTAAACTTTGTATTTACATAACTCAGCTCACTAACTCTAGGTCTGTGATTAGCAGACTGATTTACAGCTACGGGAAATCTTTCTACATTTTGTTCATGTCGGCCTCAAAGGTGGTTTGACAGACAAAGGAGGGAGCAGATAATGACAGAATGTTTTTACTTTGAGGCAACATTTGCTTTACACCACTGAACTTTTGTCAGCATGGATGCTACTGTGCAGTCTAGACTACATAGCAAACATAAGAAAATGTGGCACTTTTGACAGCCATTAAGAGCAAACCAGCAGCTGAAGCTCTCCAGAATGTTTCGTGGTGAATATCTCAGCAACAGTAATAGGCAGGTCTAGACAGGGTTAAAGTTATAAAAGTAAACTTTAACTAAAACCGCATGATTGTTTAAAAATAGCATGCTTTAATTCATTACAAAATATATAAATGATGAATATCAGACTATGACTCCATCTCCTTCACTTTGTTAATTGATTTTATCTACAGCACAATCACTGACTAGTGTGAAAATATGCTTACAAAAAATATCCCCAATAAAAACTAGTTGGTCAAGGTTATGTTTAAGCAGCTTGTTGAGTGGAGAGCAGCCGCGCACAAGCAAAGACCTAAATCTGGTAAGTGACAGTGGTTCATGACAAGATGGAAGAAGACAAGGCCACTAATGGACCGAAGAGCTGTCATCTCAGCACTTCACATCTGACCTACAGAAGCACATTTAAGTTTCCAACAACTTTGCTTTTGCAAGTTCAGAGAAGCACTGCCCCGATACAGTACGGTCTAATTGTGTGTGTGCGTTGATCAAAGTGGATGATGGAGACTCAGCTGACAAAACTGGGGCACGATGACGTCCTTATTCAAGACACATTAAAGCTGCTTTGACGCTGTACAGGTCTTTTTTTTTTTACGGTAGATATTCTGACAGCTGATGGGAAAAACACAGGTGTAATTAATCGCACATCAACAACAACAACTACTCTGCATTAGATGAGCTAGTTTCAGGACCATTCTAGTACCTGCTCGCTGTCACTACTTTTGCTGACATAATGTGTTCAAGTATAGAAGTTCAAGTAAGTATCATACATGTTGGAAAATGAGTGAAGAATACGACTTAAACTGTCCTAGCCCATCTTTCTGGTGAGGTGGGGAACTAATACAACTAGCAGGGCTGAGCATGTAACCCATATCACACGAGATGATTGCAGGCCCTACTTTCTCTCCCACTTTTCCTGTCCACTTTCAAACGGTGAAATATAAGATAATCTTCTAACCACATGCAATATTTTAGTTTCACATGCTTAATTGGCTTGCAGTTTTCTCCTCCTAGGACTGGTGTGAAAGTCTAATGAGGTTTTAGGTCATATTTTTGCAGAAATAGAGACGTTCTCAAACTTTTTCCACCAACTGTATTGTCCCGTCTGAACCACAACAGCTGCATTAGCAACAATAAGATGACAGAATCTGTGCAGTTTCTCAGCCATCACATGGCTCCTTACATATGGCTGTGTGAACACATCAGGCTTAATCCACTTTACAGCGTCTCCTTGGCATACTTATTTATGGCAACGCATTAGCCTCTGCACACAGCTACCAGCTCCCTTCCCTTGACAGGTCACAAATCTCTCTCATTATCTCCAACAAAGATCTTGGCACCATCTAAATTGTATCCCTAATGTTTGAGCACTGGTGGTTTGATATCTCCAATAAAACTAGTTTTCAAACAGTGACGTGGCCTTTAATGATGATTCAGATAGACCTTGTGGAAGAGAGTTGATGGGTTTGCGCTGTTCCTGAAAGCTTAACTGTGATGGACGCAGTCCTATTGTCAGTATTTGAATGGCTTAAAAGAATATCTGAGAAAACATAATAATACGCTTAATAAAAATACGCCCTCAGCAGGTCAACACAAAAAGGAAAGAAAAAGCATTTGGCTGCAAAAGCATAAGAAAGACTTTTTTGTTAGTACTAAAATTCATTCGGTGTGCTGAATATACCAACAAAATTAACTCCGTTACCTCAGTATTAAACTCCCAGCTTTGAGCTTCTGCCTTGAGAAACAGGCTAAAAAGTGTGAGCATTATTCATAATTCTTAACACAACCATAACTTCACATCTTTGCGTACTCTCACTGGTGCAGGTAGAGAAAGTTCCCTGTTTATGCCTGGAGTTCCCACTTTTTGGGAACTATATGCAGTTGATACAAAGAGCTTGTTCTGGGAACACATTTTTCTCTGGACAGATGCTAATTTTTTTAGAAATTATTATTCGTACACAAATATATTAGCATCTTTTTTCAAGTTTGCTGCCATTATCCTGTGTAATTTAAGGTTGTGTTTAATTCACATAAATAACTTGTGTTACTTATTTATCTAATTTTCAAATCAAGAGCAGTTCGTCTACAGAAAGTGTGAACACTGCTGATGGTTAACGGTGTTCTCACAGCTGTTTAGACTCTTTTTAACATTCACCAGAAGCGTGGTCACTGCTAAACAACTTTCACTATGCTTATATAGTGAATCTGTATTTTTCCAGAACATTTGTATGTCAAAAGGCTGCTATGTACTTCCATTTATTCATTAGCATCCCCTTTAACAGACACCTCAGTGACTGAAACCTGGTCTGAGGTCCCCATAAGTCCACATATCCACAAAATCGTAATAAAAGTTTCTTACAACATAAATCACCTAGAACATCCAAACAGCACACAGTGACAGAACCCTTTCCGCAGTTTATCCAGAGTAGCAGACAGCCGAACATCTTCCTGTGAAAACGAGACCTTGTATACTATGAAAACCCTTCGGAAACAAAGATCTGAAACACAAAGTCTGTGAACAGATAATTGCAGCTATTTCTTTCCTTGACATTTAACTGGATCTTTAGCCTGAGGGTATTCCAACAAGCAGGTTGAAATGGGAGTAACTGTGAGCACAGCTAAGAAATGCAGAAAG